CCTCGCCGGCGCCGCCGCCCCCGAGCCCGTAGCGGCTCTTCAGACGCTCCACTAGCAAATCCTGCCCCGGCGGCTTCACGACGCGCGGCTCCATGCTCGCCGCGGCTCGGCGGTCTCCCAGGGAACCGCGTTCAAACCGGCGCCGGGGCCGGGCAGCGCGCTGACGCAAAGGCTCGGCTCCCGGGACGCCGGGCGGGGCGAGACGCTGAGGCGGACTCCGCGGCGCATGTGCGCCGAGGCAAAACGGCCCCACCCTCCAGAGGGCAAACGGCGCTGTGGGCGGGGCTCGCAGCACGGGCACGTCATGACGCACTAAATGCCGCCCCTCCGGGGTACGTTGGGCTGTGGGCGGGGCCACCGGAAAGCGACAGGCGGCGCCTAGCACCGGCCCGGTCTAAGGTCCTCGCGTGGCGGGTATTTTCAGTTTACGACGGACGACTCAGAGCTCACTGGTAGTACATCTCTCGTAAACCTGACTGAGCAGGCTTAGGCTTTGTCTACACTCACCGAACACCCGACTTCACCGCAGGGGCCCTGCCCTACGGAGATGACCACCCAGACCAGACCAGGCGGGACGCCTCCCTTCCCGCACGAGCACAAACTTCCTTCAAAAGCAAACCAACCGGCCTTCCCAGTGCAGAGCTCTCTCTAGGCACTCGGTCTCTACTGGTCATCAACTTCAGAACGAGACAGACTGAGGGAACAGCTATGAATTGTGATGCTCAGGTGTGTATGGATCTTTTTTTTTTTTCAGACAGGGTCTTGCTATGCAATGTAGCCCAGCCTGGCCTGGAACTCACAGCGCTGCTCCTGCCTCCCAAGAGTGCGGAGATTACAGGCGTGGGCCACCACGCCCAGCTGACTGGATTATTTTTAAAACCTGAACTGTATTAGACCAATTCAGCATATTACTGTCTAAAGCTTAAAACCAATACTTTTATCCTTAAAGTATTACTTAAAATGTATAATGAATTTCAGCACTTTTAATGAGACAATATAAAATTCAGCCAGTTTGAAAAAAGTACGTATCAACATGCGTTTATAGTAGCATACAGAAACCATACAGAAAACACAAAGTTCTTTCCTGACATGTGACACAAAGGTATTTTCATAAATGCCTCGAGCCACTTCTAAGCATGTTTGGGATACTAATACTGGAAAAGTCAGTTTACATTTGATTTTGTTAAATTTTTGGTAAAGTTTTTAAAGCTTTTGAGTTCGTAACTAATGCTTTATTAGGACAGCATGAAATCTACAAAAGGCCTCTTGAAAAGCATTTGCATTTGTTTAAATTCATGGTAATGGCATCAATGGTCTCCGCTGAAAACTTACAATACTTTTTACATCAATTACACTTATTTCTGAAGAAGTCAGTTCTAAATATTAATTGTGCATATATGTGATCCACAGTTCTCTAAGGTCCAAATGATACAAGTGGCAGGGTAGGCTTCTTTGTAGCAATGTCCCTGCCTCATTGCACTGGGCATTGAATAGGTCAGCAACACAGGATACCCTAAACCTCACCACCTTTCCTCACTAGACAAAAAGAGGTGTCTTCACTGGGACGAACACAGAGGGTCGTAGGGAGTCAATATTCATGAGCAGAACATACAAGAGTGTGTGTTTCAGCTAGATTCCTTGAAGTTTCACACAATAAAAAACATCACCTTTATCAGTTTGCCTAATTTTTGGCAGAAGCTACTTCCAAATACACTTTTGATGTGTATCAACCTTGAGAAAATTATGTGGCAGTTAAATTTCTCCTCAATCGTCCTCCTTACTAGAATGAACAGACAACTAGATGCACAAGTAACAAACTTTTAAATGTCATGGCGGTTATCAATTGTCACTTTATTTCTGCTACAAAATTCACCAGAAAAAAGTACTGCAACAATCTAATATAAAGCAAATCTTTAACCAAAGAACATGGTATAGACCTCTGAAAAATATCCATACTTTTATCACAATAACTGCAAGGAAAAATTCAATTCTATCATCAGGACCAAGCTGAAGTTTCTGAGGTAGTAGAGACAGATAACAAAAAAGTTGAAGAGGAAAAAACTCCCACAAAACTAAAGAAAAAAAATCAACCAGTTTTTAAAAACTATCTTCAAAGGGTACAGGAAGCTTTGCATTTTAAGAAAGAAGGTACTCCACTTAAAAGTTAATTTGAATTATACAGGAGGTGTAAAGATTATACAGAAGAGCACTTTGGTTAACTCTCTACCTTCTCTGGCTCTATTCATTCATAAATGAGCCTGTGTATAAGCAAACACATCAATGGTTAAGATCACCAATATGCGTACTTCAGGTCTAAAATTAAATTATCTGAGTTGTGGTCCCTATATTCATTCAAATCGTAAGTATATACATGCAGGAAGTCCAAACATCTTAAAAGGAATTAAAAATTAAATTGCATATATCATATTCCTTCAATAGTTTGCGAAGGTATATTGCTTTTAACAAGATTAGTATTATTCCACTTTAATATAGATATGTCAGGAGTACATAAACACAAGTACACCTGAAATACATCAGTGTTTAAATTTTTATTTCACACCATGCAAGGTCAATTATAACACATTAAAGAGTGACAACAGCTATAAGCTGCAATTTTACATTTATACATTGGAAACGTCCACTTTCCAAAGCTGAACACAATTACCATATTGTCTATAACAGGTAAGCTTCAATTCAACTGCTTATACAGATAAAATTTACTAAGAAAAACAGTGATTCTATAACTGTCCACATTCTGTGATACTAATTCTTTGACTAACAGAACCTTTGGGAGAACCAAATGATTCAATCTTTTTCACAGTATCCATGCCATCCTTAACAAACCCAAATACTACATGTTTAAAGTCCAAATGTTCTGCCTTTTTCAGTGTTATAAAAAACTGAGAATTATTCGTATCCCGGCCTCGATTGGCCATAGATAATAAGCCAGGGCCAGTATGCTTCACACTGAAGTTTTCATCTTCAAATTTATCTCCATAAATGGACTTTCCTCCTGTCCCATCATGTTTGGTGATATCTCCTCCCTTAAAAAAAAAAGTTTTTTTTTAGTTAGTAGCAGTCCTGAACAATACATGAAAATACACACAGAAGTCATAACAGGGTAAGTCCTAAATACCGAGCTTCCTTAAGAATACAATTTGGAAGTAAAAAATGCAATCTGAAAAATAAATACTTTTGAGAAAAGACAGAAAATAAAAAGGGCAGGCATAGCGGTGCATGCCCCATAATCCCAGTACTTGGGAGGCTGAGGCAGGAGGATCACTGAGTTCAAGGCCTATCTCAAAAAGCAAGACCCTGTCTCAAAAAGTAAGTCAAATAAAATGGATGCTCCTTCACCTTCCGTTTCTGCCAGGTTACACCTGTATTAGAAATGTAGACCTTCTGGTATGAAAGTTTAGGACAGGAGTAGGAAGTTGAGTGGTACTGCCAACTACTGAGCAAGAAAGCTAAAGAAATCTAAAGACAACTTCAGGGTGGAGTCAAGAAGAAATGCTCCAATTTCTTTCTTTTTTTTTGAGACAGGGTCTCACTATGCAGTTCAGGCTGGCCTTGAGCTCATTTTGTAGCCCAGGCTGGTCTTGAACTCGCGAGGATCCTCCTGCCTCAGCCTCCTGAGTGCTGGGATTACAGGTGTGCGCCCCCACGCCCGGCCTTCCAGTTTCTGAAGTTAGTGTGGTACACTGTTCTAGAACTTCTTCTGTGATCATTAATACTTACTTGACAAACAAAATCTGGAATTACTCTGTGAAAAATAGAGTTCCTGAAGCCGAAGCCTTTCTCTCCAGTGCACAGTGCTCTGAAGTTCTCAGCAGTTTGAGGAACAATGTTTGAAAATAACTCCATGGTTATCCTTCCTAGAGGTTCCCCATCCGCACACACATCGAAGAATACCACAGGGTTGGTCTCCTTTGACAACTCTGCTGCCAGTGACACGTGTCCTTTCTGAAGTTTCAATAAATTCTGCTGACATTCTTCAAATTTCTTCTTAAAACACTCAGCCATTTCCTTTGTTTTAAACCTCACTGCAAGCTGTTCCACTTTCGCTTCACCATCTAGTAAAAGAAAAAATGATCTTCATATTAAAATAACTTATACAGTGTGTTACATTTGTTACAGATTTTAGAAAAGTCAAATGACTGGAAAGTAGTAGCATCAACAGGTAGCAACTCACCTGCATAATCCGAGGCAGTCCAAACTAAAGCATTATTAGACACATTTAAGGGTTTTAACTCCATTGTTTTAGTAATAACATGGTTTGCACACACTTTGAAGACCTGGTCTCTTCTCATCAGGATCCGGTAATAATTCTTCATTGTATGCCAGAGAATCTTAATATCTCCAACACCACGCTCCTTCCACTGACTGACATCTCGATCCCATCGATAAAGTTTGGCTCGCTCTTTAAACAAAATTTCTTCATCTTCTTCTCCAGATTTTACTTCTACCTATAAAGAGATGATTATTCACAACTGATGCTTGTAATAAATATGGTAGCACATCCCCCATATCTAAATTTTCTTTTTTTTTTTTGATACTGGGAATCAAACTCAGGACCTTACACTTGCCTGGCAGGCTCTTGTGCTACTGAGCTATATCCCCAGCTCTCTAACATGTTTCCTTTGGAATGACATTAACAGATTTTTTAGTATGAAAACTGATGGTAAGATCCTAAGACTGGGAACAAACCTGACTTGGTGGAGGCAGTAAGACCTACTTTATCTTTACCTGATTTGCTACTATGTAGCATTCATTCTTCTCTAGGAAAGTAAATGCCTTCCTTTCTAGGGCAGAAGTAGTTTCAAAAAGTGCTGCTTCTTAAAAAGATATTAAACAGTGACAGAATGAAAAATGGCAAAAATAATTTTCGTGACAAAACATTCTTAAAAAAAAAAAAGAAGAAAAAAAGGAAAGGTTACTTCCTAATGAAAAATCTTTTGCCAAGTATGAGAACTTACTTTGGTCTCCAGAATTACAAACAAACACGATACTTTCACATATGAAAAATTTTTTTATTTCTTCCCAACAACTGCATCAGCAAGTACAAAACCTTCCAAGCAGGGCTGGAGTGTAGCTCAGTGGTGGAGCCCCTATCTAGCATGCACATGGACCTCGGTTTCGTCCGTCACAGCACACACACGAGCTGGACTGCTAACAAGAAATTCTGAAAGAAACAGTATCCCTACATAACAAGCAAGGCTAAATTTTAACTTCAACTGAAACTCTGCTATGAGTAAAACTTTCATCCCTTGAC